GAAAAACAGACTTTTCTAAAATTAGAATATGTGTAGAGGAGTCATTATCAGACTGGAGCAATTTAAATGGAGTCCAAGAGAAATGGGATTATTTAAAAGTTGCACTATTGAAGGCAACATAAAATTGCATTAGGCTTGTCAGTAAAAGCAAAAAATTCAAGAAACCACTGTGGTACTCCGCAGATGTGGCCAAAATAGTTAAAAACAAAAATTTAGCATTTAGGAATTATAAAAAAACCCAGAGTGAGGAAGACAAAATGATCTATAAGACTAGGCAGAAAGAGGCTAAGCAAGTTATAAGAGCTTCCAAATCACACACAGACGAGAAAATAGCACAGTCAGTAAAAAAGGGGGACAAAACATTTTTTAGATACATAAATGAGAAAAGAAAAGTAAAACAAGGATTAGTTAGAAATACAACCAAAAGAAGGAAGGTATGTAGAAGAGGATAAAGGTCTAGCTGACTGCCTCAATGAATATTTTTGTTCTGTATTTACAGATGAAAATGAAGGAAAAGGACCCTTAGTTGAGAAAAAGGATAAATTAGTCATTTATTACCCGTGAGTTTACAGAGGAAGAGGTTCTATTTCAACTGTCAAAAGTGAAGACAAATAAGTCAATGGGACCTGAGGGAATACACCCAAAGCTATTAAAAGAGCTTAGTGGTGTACTAGCAAAACCATTAACAGATTTATTTAACCAATCATTGTTAACAGGAGTAGTCCCAGAAGATTGGAAGTTAGCGAATGTTGTGCCCATTTACAAGAAAGGTAATAGGGAGGAGTCGGGCAACTATAGGCCAGTAAGCCTTACTTCAGTAGTGGGGAAAGTGATGGAAACCATGTTAAAGGATAGGATTGTTGAACATCTAAAACACATGGATTTCAAGATCAGAGACAACATGGGTTTACTTCAGGGAGATCATGCCAAACTAATCTTATTGATTTTTTTGATTGGGTAACTAAAATTATAGATCAGGGTGGAGCAGTAGACATTGCTTACCTAGATTTCAGTAAGGCTTTTGACACTGTTGCACATAGAAGCCTTATCAATAAACTGCAATCTTTAAGTTTGGATTTCAATATTGTTGAATGGGTAAGGCAGTGGCTGAGTGACAGGCAACAGAGGGTTGTAGTTAATGGAATATATTTGAAGCCTGTGGGGTACCTCAGGGATCTGTACTTGGACCCATTCTCTTTAATATTTTTATTAGTGATATTGCAGAAGGTCTTGACGGTAAGGTATGTCTTTTTGCTGATGATACTAAGATATGTAACAGGGTTGATGTTCTAGGAGGGATAAGCCAAATGGCAAATGATTTAGGTAAACTAGAAAAATGGTCAGAATTGTGGCAACTGACATTTAATGTGGATAAGTGCAAGATAATGCATCTTGGACGTAAAAACCCAAGGGCAGAGTACAGAATATTTGATAGAGTCCTAACCTCAACAATTGAGGAAAGGGATTTAAGGGTGATTATTTCTGATGACTTAAAAGTAGGCAGACAATGTAATAGGGCAGAAGGAAATGCTAGCAGAATGCTTGGTTGTATAGGGAGAGGTATTAGCAGTAGAAAGAGGGAAGTGCTCATGCCATTGTACAGAACACTGGTGAGACCTCACTTGGAGTATTGTACACAGTACTGGAGACCGTATCTTCAGAAGGATATTGATACCTTAGAGAGGGTTCAGAGAAGGGCTACTAAACTGGTTCATGGATTGCGGGATAAAACTTACCAGGAAAGGTTAAAGGATCTTAACATGTATAGCTTGGAGGAAAGACGAGACAGGGGGGATATGATAGAAACATTTAAATATATAAAGGGAATCAACACAGTAAAGGAGGAGACTATATTTAAAAGAAGAAAAACTACCACAACAAGAGGACATAGTCTTAAATTAGAGGGACAAAGGTTTAAAAATAATATCAGGAAGTATTACTTTACTGAGAGGGTAGTGGATGCCTGGAATAGCCTTCCAGCTGAAGTGGTAGAGGTTAACACAGTAAAGGAGTTTAAGCATGCGTGGGATAGGCATGAGGCTATCCTAACTATAAGATAAGGCTAGGGACTAATGAAAGTATTTAGAAACTTGGGCAGACTAGATGGGCAGAATGGTTCTTATCTGCTGTCACATTCTATGTTTCAATGTTTCTATGGTAATAGCTTCTTGATCCAAGGAATTATCTGACTGCCATTCTGGGGTGAAGAATTATTTTTTTTCTGAATTTGTTACAAAATTGGAAGTGCTTCAAACTAGGTTTTTTTGCCTTCTTTTGGATCAACAGCAAAAAAACAAATGTGAGGAAGGCTGAACTTGATGGACGCAAGTCTCTTTTCAGCTATGTAACTATATACATATAGGTGATAGGAGGTGTGCACAACACAAACACAATTCCTACAAGACTGTAAGAAAGATTTAAAAGAAAAATTAAAAACAAAAAAAGTTAAACTTTTTGTTGTCACCTGATACTTCCAAATTGGCTATTTCTTCTTCCACTGGAACACATATTGCACAAATTCCTGAATTCACTGTAAAATGTGTAAGAGTCCAGTTTTGAGTCAGAATCCTTAACTTCATCAGTTAACTTCATCATATTACCCTACATAATGTGACCAAGTAAAATAAATAGAGGTTTACAACGCTCTCTCCTGCCCAAGCTATGTTAAAGTTCCCAGTTAAAAGTTTTCAAAATTGAATGCGAAGTGCACCGTCAATGAGTAAAGTACAAGTGGGAATCAATTGCAAAATAGTGTAAAAGAGGAAAAGACTCATTTGATTGAGGCCAAGTTCTCTGTTTATATACATGACCCCCAGCATGGGGTCCCTATTCAGGTGTCTGGGAGGATAATTGAGTTTGCTTTGGCTTAAACTAAGTATCTCCCATGCATTCAAGGTACAACACGAAAAAAAAACAAAAATACAGATAAAACAGACAGGAACCCCCAAGGGTACTATATCCCCAAATAGCCCTGATCTGAGCACCAAAGTTGTCCAAATAACTCATTCACCCAGTGTATGGAAATTGCCATTGGGTTAAAGTTCGGACCGGCAGCCCATGTGGATATTGCACAAAATAGTTCTAGGAGTAAAGAGGTATAGGCCAGTCAACTTTCAGGAGTTCCTATGTGAAGATAAACAAATGCTGCCCCTTGCTCTTATCAAGCCAATGTTCCTACTGATCACTCTCCTGGCATGTCTGTGAGAGGAGCAGACCATTTACTAGAGCACGTTTGTTCAGTTATAAGAATGGCGGCCACCCAGAGAGAGTATTTGCGTTAAACACTTCTTTGAATTTAATGAGCCTCGGAGGTTGTCGGTGTTTGGTAGTGTGAAAATACCGAACCAAGGGGAAACAGTGCTTTCAGATAAATGCAGAAAGTTATATAGGGAAATTCTTCACAGGCTTCCGATCACGGTCCTCTGGCGGTGTGTGGTCAAAGAATTGCTCCAGCAGCATTAGTTGCAAGGTGTCAACTAAGGTGGTTGCCTTACACCCCTGCATCCAGTTCTGGGCTTCATGGTGCTTCTATAAAGCCAATTCGGCAAAAGCGTCGCTGCCACCTTTTTGGAAGCTGCAAAATTCTCTTCTGTAGTGTGATGGGTGGCCTGATTTGTTTGGCGCAAGTCGCAAGCTTGTGGTGCCATTTTTGTGACTGGTTTCCATGTATCTATGTACTGTGTACCTATGTTATACATAAAGCAGTGTGTGTGTCTGTATATGCAGCTGTGGGTCAACAAAGGGGGGACAGCAGCTCTATAAACTATAAAGTATAGTGGGCTAATCAGGTTAAATGAGTGACCTCTGCTGTGGGAGCCAGCAAGTCTATCTACTACAGCAAAGGGCTGTGTTGATGTAACCAGAGATTGCTCTGAAGGGATAGTTTGTCCAATCAAGATAACCTGTTGTTGTCAGGGTGTATTGGCACAGGGGGAGGTGGTAACTAGTGTAAGGAATCCCTTTGTTGCTTTGTACTTCTTTTCCTGTGACCTGTTCTGTATTCCCATTGGTGAAAGTTTTGAGTAATGTTTATTTTACTGTATGCTGTGATCTCTGTAAGCTGGATCTGGATACAATAAACGGATGATATTTTAAGGCCGAATCGTCACAGGTAGCCTTTGGGAGTTGGTGCATACCGAGCCAACAGTGTCTCTTTGAGACAATCATAATTATGGATGTCTTAGTCGGGTACTACCTACAAGGCTTCAACTGATCTACCAGACAGCTTGCTGTTCAGAATGGCCACCCAGTTAGCTATGTCCAGGCCCTCCAAAGCAAATTGTCTCTCGAAGTCTTGCAAATATGTACCAATGTCCATCTCTCCAGATAAGTTTTGAATGCAGCATAGTTTAGCTTAGTTGTCCTCGGTTGATGGATCCTTGAAGAGATGCTCCTTGTTGTAACTCGGCTTTAGTTCCCCAGGAATTCTGTGCCTCTGTGGCATGTGCTATAATTTCTACTATAATATCTTTCAGGGGAATGGGCCCCAATATGCTGAGCTGCCAGCACACTTCCTACTGAAACTCGGATTTCACGATGCCCCTGGTCGATAAGTTTCTGGCTTGGTCCCTCTCCATCAGTCTGGCTATAACTTGCCTAACATCCAAGAGCTTCCAGTAGGTCTTTCAGTATTGTTCGTTTTAGGAACTGGTACTGCTGGGTCATTCACTGCCATTCCTTGTTCGGGGTATCCATTTGGAAGAAAAATCCTGCTGCTTGCTACCAAATGTAATGGAATCTCAGGTGTCATACCCAGAAAGCTTGGTGGTGTGACTTTAAGTCCTACTTCCTCAGAAGCCGTACAGACATGGGCCTGGTTAGTCCTTGTATGGGAGACCAACTAGGAACCTCAGATGCCGTAAACTTTTGTTTATTTCTTTTTTGCATTATGATGTCATAATCAGATCACTTTTTTCCCTATCCAGAAGCTTCTTGTCTTTTGTTGCAACCAGTATTTGATATTCTACCAACATCAGCAAAAATCGCATTCGCTTAATTTTGCCAACGGCCATACCAGTCTGAAAGTGCCTGATCTCGTCAGATGACATCCAGACTCGGGCCTGGTTAGTACTTGTATGGGAGACCAACTAGGAACCTCAGGTGCCGTAAGCTTTTGTTTATTTCTTTTTTGCATTACAATGTCATAATGAGATCATTTTTTTCCCTAGTCAGAAGCGTCTTGTCTTTTGTCGCAACCAATATTTGATATTCTACCATCAGCAAAATCGCATTTGCTTTATTTCACCTATAACCATACCAGTCTGAAAGTGCCTGATCTCGTCAGATCTCAGAAGTCATGCAGACTTGGGCCTCATTAGTACTTGTATGGGAGACCAACTAGGAACCTCAGGTGCCGTAAGCTTTTGTTTATTTCTTTTTTAGATTATGATGTCATAATCAGAACACTTTTTTCCCTAGTCAGAAGCGTCTTGTCTTTTGTCGCAACCAGTGTTTGATATTATACCAACATCAGCGAGATCACTTTCTACTAATTTTGCCTATGGCCATACCAGTCTGAAAGTGCCTGATCTCGTCAGATCTCAGAAGTCATGCAGACTTGGGCCTGTTTAGTACTTGTATGGGAGACCAACTAGGAACCTCAGGTGCCGTAAGCTTTTGTTTATTTCTTTTTTAGATTATGATGTCATAATCAGATCACTTTTTCCCTAGTCAGAAGCGTCTTGTCTTTTGCCGCAACCAGTGTTTGATATTATACCAATATCAGCGAGATCACTTTCTGCTAATTTCGCCTACGTACATACCAGTCTGAAAGTGCCTGATCTCGTCAGATCTCTGAAGTCATGCAGACTTGGGCCTGATTAGTACTTGTATGGGAGACCAACTAGGAATCTCAGGTGCCGTAAGCTTTTGTTTATTTCTTTTTTAGATTATGATGTCATAATCAGATCACTTCTTTCCCTAGTCAGAAGCGTCTTGTCTTTTGTCGCAACCAGTGTTTGATATTATACCAACATCAGCGAGATCACTTTCTGCTAAATTCGCCTACGGCCATACCAGTCTGAAAGTGCCCGATCTCGTCAGTTCTCAGAAGTCATGCAGACTTGGGCCTGCTTAGTATTTGTATGGGAGACCAACTAGGAACCTCAGGTGTCGTAAGCTTTTGTTTATTTCTTTTTTAGATTATGATGTTATAATCAGATCACTTTTTTCCCTAGTCAGAAGCGTCTTGTCTTTTGTCGCAACCAGTGTTTGATATTATACAAACATCAGCGATATCACTTTCTGCTAATTTCGCCTACGGCCCTACCAGTCTGAAAGTGCCTGATCTCTTCAGATCTCAGAAGTCATGCAGACTTGGGCCTGATTAGTACTTGTATGGGAGACCAACTAAGAACCTCAGGTGCCGTAAGCTTTTGTTTATTTCTTTTTTAGATTATGATGTCATAATCAGATCACTTTTCCCCTAGTCAGAAGCGTCTTGCCTTTTGTCGCAACCAGTGTTTGATATCATACCAACATCAGCGAGATCACTTTCTACTAATTTTGCCTATGGCCATACCAGTCTGAAAGTGCCTGATCTCGTCAGATCTCAGAAATCATGCAGACTTGGGCTTGATTAGTACTTGTATGGGAGAATTACTAGGAACCTCAGGTGCAGTAAGCTTTTGATTATTTCTTTTTTAGATTATGATGTCATAATCAGATCACTTTTTTCCCTAGTCAGAAGCGTCTTGTCTTTTGTCGCAACCAGTGTTTGATATTATACAAACATCAGCGAGATCACTTTCTGCTAATTTCGCATACAGCCATACCAGTCTGAAAGTGCCTGATCTCGTCAGATCTCAGAAGTCATGCAGACTTGGGCCTGATTAGTACTTGTATGGGAGACCAACTAAGAATCTCAGGTGCCGTAAGTTTTTGTTTATTTCTTTTTTAGATTATGATGTCATAATCAGAACACTTTTTTCCCTCGTCAGAAGTGTCTTGTCTTTTGTCGCAACCAGTGTTTGATATTATACAAACATCAGCGAGATCACTTTCTGCTAATTTCGCCTACGGCCATACCAGTCTGAAAGTGCCTGATCTCGTCAGATCTCAGAAGTTATGCAGACTTGGGCCTGATTAGTACTTGTATGGGAGACCAACTAGGAACCTCAGGTGCCGTAAGCTTTTGTTTATTTCTTTTTTAGATTATGAAGTCATAATCAGATCACTTTTTTCCCTAGTCAGAAGCGTCTTGTCTTTTGTCGCAACCAGTGTTTGATATTATACCAACATCAGCGATATCACTTTTTGCAAATTTCGCTTACGGCCAGACCAGTTTGAAAGTGCCTGATATCGTCAGATCTCATAAGTTATGCAGACTTGGGCCTGATTAGTACTTGTATGGGAGACCAACTAGGAACCTCAGGTGCCGTAAGCTTTTGTTTATTTCTTTTTTAGATTATGATGTCATAATCAGATCACTTTTTTCCCTAGTCAGAAGCGTCTTGTCTTTTGTCGCAACCAGTGTTTGATATTATACCAACATCAGCGAGATCACTTTCTGCTAATTTCGCCTACGGCCATACCAGTCTGAAAGTGCCTGATCTCGTCAGATCTCAGAAGTCATGCAGACTTGGGCCTGCTTAGTACTTGTATGGGAGACCAACTAGGAACCTCAGGTGCCGTAAGCTTTTGTTTATTTCTTTTTTAGATTATGATGTCATAATCAGATCACTTTTTTCCCTAGTCAGAAGCGTCTTGTCTTTTGTTGCAACCAGTGTTTGATATTATACCAACATCAGCGAGATCACTTTCTACTAATTTCGCCTATGGCCATACCAGTCTGAAAGTGTCAAATCTCTGAATTCATGCAGACTTGGGCCTGATTAGTACTTGTATGGGAGATCAACTAAGAACCTCAGGTGCCGTAAGCTTTTGTTTATTTCTTTTTTAGATTATGATGTCATAATCAGATCACTTTTTCCCTAGTCAGAAGTGTCTTGTCTTTTGTCGCAACCAGTGTTTGATATTATACCAACATCAGCGATATCACTTTTTGCTAATTTCGCCTACGGCCATACCAGTCTGAAAGTGCCTGATCTCGTCATCTCAGAAGTCATGCAGACTTGGGCCTGCTTAGTACTTGTATGGGAGACCAACTAGGAACCTCAGGTGCCGTAAGCTTTTGTTTATTTCTTTTTTAGATTATGATGTCATAATCAGATCACTTTTTTCCCTAGTCAGAAGCGTCTTGTCTTTTGTCGCAACCAGTGTTTGATATTATACCAACATCAGCGAGATCACTTTCTGCTAATTTTGCCTATGGCCATACCAGTCTGAAAGTGCCTGATCTCGTCAGATCTCAGAAGTCATGCAGACTTGGGCCTGCTTAGTACTTGTATGGGAGACCAACTAGGAACCTCAGGTGCCGTAAGCTTTTGTTTATTTCTTTTTTAGATTATGATGTCATAATCAGATCACTTTTTTCCCTAGTCAGAAGCGTCTTGTCTTTTGTCGCAACCAGTGTTTGATATTATACCAACATCAGCGAGATCACTTTCTGCTAATTTCGCCTACGGCCATACCAGTCTGAAAGTGCCTGATCTCGTCAGATCTCAGAAGTCATGCAGACTTGGGCCTGCTTAGTACTTGTATGGGAGACCAACTAGGAACCTCAGGTGCCGTAAGCTTTTGTTTATTTCTTTTTTAGATTATGATGTCATAATCAGATCACTTTTTTCCCTAGTCAGAAGCGTCTTGTCTTTTGTCGCAACCAGTGTTTGATATTATACCAACTTCAGCGAGATCGCTTTCTGCTAATTTCGCCTAAGGCCATACCAGTCTGAAAGTGCCAGATCTCAGAAGTCATGCAAACTTGGGCCTGCTTAGTACTTGTATGGGAGACCAACTAGGAACCTCAGGTGCTGTAAGCTTTTGTTTATTTATTTTTTAGATTTTGATGTCATAATCAGATCACTTTTTTCCCTAGTCAGAAGTGTCTTGTCTTTTGTCGCAACCAGTGTTTGATATTATACAAACATCAGCGAGATCACTTTCTGCTAATTTCGACGACGGCCATACCAGTCTGAAAGTGCCTGATCTCGTCAGATCTCAGAAGTTATGCAGACTTGGGCCTGATTAGTACTTGTATGGGAGACCAAATAGGGACCTCAGGTGCTGTAAGCTTTTGTTTATTTCTTTTTTAGATTATGATGTCATAATCAGAACACTTTTTTCCCTAGTCAGAAGCGTCTTGTCTTTTGTCGCAACCAGTGTTTGATATTATACCAACATCAGCGAGATCACTTTCTCCTAATTTCGCCTACGGCCATACCAGTCTGAAAGTGCCTGATCTCGTCAGATCTCAGAAGTCATGCAGACTTGGGCCTGATTAGTACTTGTATGGGAGACCAACTAGGAACCTCAGGTGCCGTAAGCTTTTGTTTATTTATTTTTTAGATTATGATGTCATAATCAGATCACTTTTTTCCCTAGTCAGAAGCGTCTTGTCTTTTGTCGCAACCAGTGTTTGATATTATACAAACATCAGCGAGATCACTTTCTACTTTTGCCTATGGCCATACCAGTCTGAAAGTGCCTGATCTCGTCAGATCTCAGAAGTCATGCAGACTTGGGCCTGCTTAGTACTTGTATGGGAGACCAACTAGGAACCTCAGGTGCCGTAAGTTTTTGTTTATTTCTTTTTTAGATTATGATGTCATAATCAGATCACTTTTTTCCCTAGTCAGAAGCGTCTTGTCTTTTGTCGCAACCAGTGTTTGATATTATACCAACATCCGCGAGATCACTTTCTATTCATTTTGCCTATGGCCATACCAGTCTGAAAGTGCCTGAACTCGTCAGATCTCAGAAGTCAGGCAGACTTGGGCCTGCTTAGTACTTGTATGGGAGACCAACTAGGAACCTCAGGTGCCGTAAGCTTTTGTTTATTTCTTTTTTAGATTGTGATGTCATAATCAGATCACTTTTTTCCCTAGTCAGAAGCGTCTTGTCTTTTGTCGCAACCAGTGTTTGATATTATACAAACATCAGCGAGATCACTTTCTGCTAATTTTGCCTACGGCCATACCAGTCTGTAAGTGCCTGATCTCGTCAGATCTCAGAAGTCATGCAGACTTGGGCCTGCTTAGTACTTGTATGGGAGACCAACTAGGAACCTCAGGTGCCGTAAGCTTTTGTTTATTTATTTTTTAGATTATGATGTCATAATCAGATCACTTTTTTCCCTAGTCAGAAGCGTCTTGTCTTTTGTCGCAACCAGTGTTTGATATTATACCAACATCAGCGAGATCACTTTCTGCTAATTTCGCCTACGGCCATACCAGTCTGAAAGTGCCTGATCTCGTCAGATCTCAGAAGTTATGCAGACTTGGGCTTGATTAGTACTTGTATGGGAGACCAAATAGGAACCTCAGGTGCCGTAAGCTTTTGTTTATTTCTTTTTTAGATTATGATGTCATAATCAGATCACTTTTTCCCTAGTCAGAAGCGTCTTGTCTTTTGTCGCAACCAGTGTTTGATATTATACAAACATCAGCGAGATCACTTTCTGTTACTTTTGCCTACGGCCATACCAGTCTGAAAGTGCCTGATCTCGTTAGATCTCAGAAGTCATGCAGACTTGGGCCTGTTTAGTACTTGTATGGGAGACCAACTAGGAACCTCAGGTGCCGTAAGTTTTTGTTTATTTCTTTTTTAGATTATGATGTCATAATCAGATCACTTTTTTCCCTAGTCAGAAGCGTCTTGTTTTTGTCGCAACCAGTGTTTGATATTATACCAACTTCAGCGAGATCACTTTCTCTAATTTCGCCTACGGCCATACCAATCTGAAAGTGCAGATCTCAGAAGTGCAGACTTGGGCCTGCTTAGTACTTGTATGGGAGACCAACTAGGAACCTCAGGTGCGTAGCTTTTGTTTATTTCTTTTTTAGATTATGATGTCATAATCAGATCACTTTTTTCCCTTGTCAGAAGCGTCTTGTCTTTTGTCGCAACCAGTGTTTGATATTATACCAACTTCAGCGAGATCACTTTCTGCTAATTTCGCCTACGGCCATACCTGTCTGAAAGTGTCAGATCTCAGAAGTCATGCAGACTTGGGCCTGCTTAGTACTTGTATGGGAGACCAACTAGGAACCTCAGGTGCCGTAAGCTTTTGTTTATTTATTTTTTAGATTATGATGTCATAATCAGATCACTTTTTTCCCTAGTCAGAAGCGTCTTGTCTTTTGTCGCAACCAGTGTTTGATATTATACCAACATCAGCGAGATCACTTTCTATTAATTTTGCCTATGGCCATACCAGTCTGAAAGTGCCTGATCTCGTCAGATCTCCGAAGTCATGCAGACTTGGGCCTGTTTAGTACTTGTATGGGAGACCAACTAGGAACCTCAGGTGCCGTAAGCTTTTGTTTATTTCTTTTTTAGATTATGATGTCATAATCAGATCACTTTTTCCCTAGTCAGAAGCGTCTTGTCTTTTGTCGCAACCAGTGTTTGATATTATACCAACATCAGCGATATCACTTTTTGCTAATTTCCCTATGGCCATACCAGTTGAAAGTGCCTGATCTCGTCAGATCTCAGAAGTCATGCAGACTTGGGCCTGCTTAGTACTTGTATGGGAGACCAACTAGGAACCTCAGGTGCCGTAAGCTTTTGTTTATTTCTTTTTTAGATTATGATGTCATAATCAGATCACTTTTTCCCTAGTCAGAAGCGTCTTGTCTTTTGTCGCAACCAGTGTTTGATATTATACAAACATCAGCGAGATCACTTTCTGCTAATTTTGCTTACGGCCATACCAGTCTGAAAGTGCCTGATCTCATCAGATCTCAGAAGTCATGCAGACTTGGGCCTGCTTAGTACTTGTATGGGAGACCAACTAGGAACCTCAGGTGCCGTAAGTTTTTGTTTATTTCTTTTTTAGATTATGATGTCATAATCAGATCACTTTTTTCCCTAGTCAGAAGCGTCTTGTCTTTTGTCGCAACCAGTGTTTGATATTATACCAACATCCGCGAGATCACTTTCTATTCATTTTGCCTATGGCCATACCAGTCTGAAAGTGCCTGATCTCGTCAGATCTCAGAAGTCATGCAGACTTGGGCCTGCTTAGTACTTGTATGGGAGACCAACTAGGAACCTCAGGTGCCGTAAGCTTTTGTTTATTTCTTTTTTAGATTATGATGTCATAATCAGATCACTTTTTTCCCTAGTCAGAAGCGTCTTGTCTTTTGTCGCAACCAGTGTTTGATATTATACCAACATCAGCGAGATCACTTTCTGCTAATTTCACCTATGGCCATACCAGTCTGAAAGTGCCTGATCTCGTCAGATCTCAGAAGTCATGCAGACTTGGGCCTGCTTAGTACTTGTATGGGAGACCAACTAGGAACCTCAGGTGCCGTAAGCTTTTGTTTATTTCTTTTTTAGATTATGATGTCATAATCAGATCACTTTTTTCCCTAGTCAGAAGCGTCTTGTCTTTTGTCGCAACCAGTGTTTGATATTATACAAACATCAGCGAGATCACTTTCTGCTAATTTCGCCTACGGCCATACCAGTCTGAAAGTGCCTGATCTCGTCAGATTTCAGAAGTCATGCAGACTTGGCCTGCTTAGTACTTGTATGGGAGACCAACTAGGAACCTCAGGTGCCGTAAGCTTTTGTTTATTTCTTTTTTAGATTATGATGTCATAATCAGATCACTTTTTTCCCTAGTCAGAAGCGTCTTGTCTTTTGTCGCAACCAGTGTTTGATATTATACAAACATCAGCGAGATCACTTTCTACTAATTTCGACTACGGCCATACCAGTCTGAAAGTGCCTGATCTCGTCAGAGCTCAGAAGTTATGCAGACTTGGGCCTGCTTAGTACTTGTATGGGAGACCAACTAGGAACCTCAGGTGCTGTAAGCTTTTGTTTATTTCTTTTTTAGATTATGATGTCATAATCAGATCACTTTTTTCCCTAGTCAGAAGCGTCTTGTCTTTTGTCGCAACCAGTGTTTGATATTATACCAACATCAGCGAGATCACTTTCTGCTAGTTTCGCCTACGGCCATACCAGTCTGAAAGCACCTGATCTCGTCAGATCTCCGAAGTCATGCAGATTTGAGTCTGATTAGTACTTGTATGGGAGACCAACTAGGAACCTCAGGTGCCGTAAGCTTTTGTTTATTTCTTTTTTAGATTATGATGTCATAATCAGATCACTTTTTTCCCTATTCAGAAGCGTCTTGTCTTTTGTCGCAACCAGTGTTTGATATTATACCAACATCAGCGAGATCACTTTCTACTAATTTTGCCTATGGCCATACCAGTCTGAAAGTGCCTGATCTCGTCAGATCTCAGAGGTCATGCAGACTTGGGCCTGGTTAGTACTTGTATGGGAGACCAACTAGGAACCTCAGGTGCCGTAAGCTTTTGTTTATTTATTTTTTAGATTATGATGTCATAATCAGATCACTTTTTCCCTAGTCAGAAGCGTCTTGTCTTTTGTCGCAACCAGTGTTTGATATTATACAAACATCAGCGAGATCACTTTCTGTTACTTTTGCCTATGGCCATACCAGTCTGAAAGTGCCTGATCTCATCAGATCTCAGAAGTCATGCAGACTTGGGCCTGCTTAGTACTTGTATGGGAGACCAACTAGGAACCTCAGGTGCCGTAAGTTTTTGTTTATTTATTTTTTAGATTATGATGTCATAATCAGATCACTTTTTTCCCTAGTCAGAAGCGTCTTGTCTTTTGTCGCAACCAGTGTTTGATATTATACCAACTTCAGCGAGATCACTTTCTGATAATTTCGCCTACGGCCATACTGTGGTGGAATCTCGGTAAAAATAAATTTAGTAGGCCGAGATTACCACGTGGCATGTGTACGTGCATATGCTGACGTATCGATCAGTTGGTTGCACGAGGCAAGATACGATCAGTAGTGTACGGAGCATGTGCAAGAATACAGGATGTAGTATTCCCCTCCTCCATTGTGCTGGACAAGCCATGCGGTCAAGCAGGAAGTTAATTCTTATTTGTAATGATTGGTCAAGAGAATGTGCGGGTGGAGCTTAATATGGGAGGAGTTATGTGCCTATATAGGGAGCCTGCACTATTGTTCAGGGCTCAGAACTTGCTGTATTTTTGGTGACATTAGTCCCTCTGAGTCCCGATCGGTGATCCAATAAAGAATCTCTTCCTTCCTGAAGAAACCTGTGTCCATCCCTCTGTGCTTTGCTTCCGTCAGTTTCTCCGGTATCATTTGGTGCATTGGCCGGGAAGCTCATCGTTCAACGGTAGCTGAGAGGCAGAGGCGTGAGACGGTCTATCTTTGCCCACGTTCTCTACGGCTGCACCCCTGAACTTCTGCGTGGACCTCCCTTCGTCTCGGCGCCACTGGTCTGTTGTCCAGGAGATCATCGGCCTCTACGTAAGAAGTGCTGGGGTGTCCCCGTCGATGAGTGTGAACTCAGGTTCAGGAACGAGGAGGTAAGACAACTGCTGTTTTAGACGGCAGACCCACTAGGGGTATACCGATTGTGCGGTAGGCCCAAAAGGGGTTTAAATCTGTGTATGGAATCTGCCCCCTCTGTCGGAGGGAAGGAGCGAAGGCGCACCGCTCGATCGAACGCTCTTTAGTAAGACCGTTTGATCTGGTTAGTCAGGCGGGGTCCTGTGTAAATAGCCCTAGCCGGACACCGGTGTCTTGTCTAGACTAGCGTTCTAGGGTGTATATTACGTTCGCTAGGTCGGAGGGACCGGGAGACTAAGCGGCGCCTGTGTAAATTCGGTTCGCTAGCTCTCAACCTATCTTGGCTAAGTGGGAAGGCGTGTAAATTTGGAACCCACTAGACTTTTGATAGAGTAAATAGACTAGAAGGGCAATTTTGTAAATTTCGCCCTCTAGTTCGCTATATGTGGTGTTTGGGCAGTGTGGCTAACCAAAACGGGTGTATATAGTTTTAGGTAGTCCATTCAAGGTACTGGCCAATAGTTTAGTTGGGATTGTAAATGTGTTAAAGATTGTTAGTAAAGTGTATATCTTGTTAGATAGCGCGAGCTCAGCCGTCTAGCGAGAGTGTTAATAGTGTGTTGCTGTATCATAGTGCACGGTACCATAACCCTGTATATTTACTGACACTGTATATAAGTACTAATCATTGTCGTCTATTGCATGTTTAACACCGTAACCACTAATAATTGTATTGTGACCTTAAATTGTGCTTTGACCTATGCTAACCGTACTGTAACCGATACTAGTAAAAGACGATGTTACTGGGGTGTGTTATAGACGGGTAATTCATATATAGAGAATTATAGCGTGGGTGACTGTATAGTTTCGCCAAAGGGCATAATATTGATTATTTAGTGACTGGTGTAACAGCTGTGTGTGTACGGGAATTCCCTGAGTGATTATTGTGTTATTGTGTACGTTTCACTCGGTAACTGTACCACGTGGTGCTGTTGCCAGAGGAAACGGGTGTGACTGTTGAATAAGAACGCGTGCATAGTATTCGTTGTCAACGACGTTCCATTGATAAGTATGGGCGCGTCAGAGTCAACGATTTCGGATCCCTTAGGTTGTATGGTAAAGAATTTTAAAAAGGGATTCAAAACATGTGATTTTGGGGTTAAAATGTCTCCTGTACGTTTGGTCACTTTGTGCACTAGGGAGTGGCCTATTTTGGTTGCGGCATGGCCGCCGCGTGGCAGTTTGGATCCAACCCTGGTACAGCGTGTACACGTGGCTGTGTCAGGTAGGCCTGAACTTTACGGACAGTTTCCATACATTGATTGTTGGGGGCAGGCCGTAAACGACTCGCCAAAATGGATCCGGATATGCCACGAGGAGCAATGTCGCCTCATGGTGGCCAGGACTTGTTTGTCCACTAGGACTGGTGTTAGGCCCAT